CTGGGTTCTGTTCTTGAGCCTCTTTGTGCTCAAGGCTAACAGTCTGTCACTTGAGCCACAGCACCACCTCCAGTTTTCTGGTGGTTTATTGGAGATAAGAGTCTCATAAAAAAAAAAAGAGTCTCATAGACTTTCCTGCCCAGGCTGGCTTGGACCTGCGAGCCTCAGATCTCAGCCTCCTGAGTAGCTAGAATTACAGGTGTGAGCCACCAGCCCCTGGCCCTAACTTACATTTATATTGACATAATTCATATGCCCATGTCAGCACTTTTTGGTATATTTAAAGTTGTGTAACTATCATGTCTAATTTCAGAAAAGTCCTGAATACCTATGCCTCTTGACAGTCATTTCCTAGTTCTCACTCCTCCAGGTTCTGGTCACCAAGAAACGATTTCTTGTTTTATGGACATTTCATAGAATCAGAATCAAACAGCATATGGCACTTTGTGCATGGCTTCTTTCACTTTGTATAATATTTTCAAAGTTAATCCATGTTGCAGCGTATCAGTACTTCATTTTTTCTTTTCCTTTTCAATTTTCTCATTTTTATAACTGCATAATACTTCCTTGAATGGATAAACAACTTAGGGTTTTCCACTCACCAATAGCTATTTGGGTGGTTTCCTCTTGCTGGCTGTAATGTTTTGCACATTGTTTTGCTTCAAAAATTTTACTGTAAAGGTGATGCACAGAGGGGTTACAGCTACGTAAGTCAGCTACTGAGAACATTTCTTTTTGAACAGTGTCACCTCTTCCCTCATTTGCTCCCAGTTTTTCCCTCCTGACTCCCCTCCCCCCACAAGTTGTATAGTTCATTTTGACATAGTGTGTAGTGAGTGTCACTGCTGAATTGGTTCACCCTTTGTCCCACTGTTTCTGTGCTTCCCCTTCCCTTTCCCAAGTCAGATAAACTTACACACAAAAGGTACAGAAATCAAAAACAGCAACCAATGGGGGAAAAAACAGAAAGAAAAAAACACAAAAAGTAAAACAAAAAAAGCTCTTGTTTCCATTCCTAGGAGTTCATAAGCAGCTATGTATAATACTGGTATGGACATTCAAGTACAAGAACTTCAGAATTGGAGTTTAAAATAATGTTAGCTCTGCAGTCGGGTGCCGGTGGCTCACGCCTGGTATCCTCCCGCTCAAAGGCAGCCACGGCAAGTACATGAGACTCTTATCCCCAATTAACCACCAGAAATTCTCTTTTTCTTTTTTTGGCGGTTGTGGGGCTTGAACTCTGGACCTGGGCACCGTCCCTCAACTCTTCAGCTCAAGACGAGCGCTCTGCCAACTGAGCCACAGTGCCACTTCCGGTTTTCTGGTGGTTAACTGGCAATAAGAGTCTCCCAGACTTCCGTGCCCAGTTAGGCTTTGAACGGCGCCCGGCTCAGTGAAATTCTTATAGCCATCTTTCCGCTGGCAGGTCAGAAGCGGCGCTGTGGCTCAAGCTGCTAGTACACTATCCTTGTAAAGCTTAGTGACAGCGCTTAGGCCCTGAGTTCAAGACCCATGAGTTACAATCGTGGGTCTTGAACTCAGGGCCTTTTATGTTTGGTTTTTTTTTGGGTCAGCCATGGAGCATTAGCCTTGATCATTAAAAAAAGGCTCAGGGACACCGCCCCGGCCTGAATTTAAGCCCCATGGCAGGTACATGCGGCACGTGCGCGCACACACACGCGGCACGTGCGCGCATGCGCACACGCGCACACTTTTAAAAACCTTCTAAGATACCATTAGAGAAGCAAATATACATTATTTATTTTACTGATTAGTTAGAAAACAAAAGATTGATATGTTAGCTGTCAAACTGAGCAAACAAGGGTGGACTAAACACCATTGACTAAATCCAGGAGGAGAGAAGCTGAAGCACAGAATGAAACCAGAAGGTAAGCCAGATGAGAATCTTCTGATAATGGCTGTTGATTGCACCAGACTTTTCTGGAAATGTTTAATCTGTTCTAACTGAATGATTATTCCAGAAGCTACTTCTTCAGCTGTTAGCTAATTCTTCAGTGTGCCTGCTCAAGTGTTAGAAGCTGACTTTCATGTTTGCTGAAACGTGTTTGGTAATTAAATTTTGATCTAAGTTCTAGTCTGTAAATGAGAAATGCAAATAAAAATAAGAGGTCAATTTATTTTAAGTAAATTTATCATTAAATATCAATGTGTACAATTCCAAACATTTATAAATCTTCCAATTTATAGAAAAATTAATGTAATTGTAAATTTATCTGAACAGTGATTTGCACAATTATTTACAATTAACTCATCTTATCTCTGTAGAAACATAACTATATTTAAAAGCATCCCTACCACAAAGTGATATTTTCACAGTACCTTTCTACATTTATGTCACTCGAGTGGCAGCTATATCAATAAATCCCAGCAAATTCAGTAATTTAGAAAGAATACAACCAGAACAGTAAAATGTAACCTACCATTAATTCCCAACAAAACAAACTTTTTTCTATTAACATATAAATATTTTGTCATTCAGCATTGATAGAAAAAAATAATTAGGAAGCAATATTTTATTTGCCTATTATATAACAAATTTGTTTTCATGTACTTTATAAATTGATGTTAAGGTGCTAGATTAGGTGAACCTATAACATATAACATATTTTGTGAAACTCTTGGTTTCACTGGAAGGCATTTCTAATAGCAAACCTCTATTACCACATATTAAAAAATACGATTTGTTAACAATAATATTTAGATTGAAAGATAATCATGGCTTTATTTCTATTTTTTTCCTACTTAGCTTTTTAACTTTTTTACATTCCCAAGTCTGTCAAAGAATCTCAAATATGGAAAAAAATCCAAAGGAAAATTTATGTTTGGACTAGTACTCATGTTTGAAAATAAATTTGACTATAGTATTCCTCAGTATTTTTCTTTTTAAAGCATACAAGCAGCTAAGACAATTTAATAAAAACCAAAAGTATAAGGAATATAGTAAAAATCATAATAAAGTACATTTGCTTTTATTGACATAGAACAGATACATAAAGTTTAAAGTTTAAATGTTAGCTTTTTAACAAAAATTTATCCTGGTTATTAATATGCACAACCGTTGCCCAAAAATGTATACAGCTGTTTTCCCCCAAATATTTATATACATAGTAGTAGTCCACTTTAGACCAGCCCTGTTATAACCTACTAAATATAATGTGCTCTTGATTTATAAATGGGCTACTCTCAGTATATAAAATATATAGTTGTGTATGTTATACATCCAAAGTAAAAAATATAAAAAGGAAAAATGGAAAAGAATAAAGAAGTGTGCTTCCCTATAAGATCTAGACAGAAAGTAATGATAATTAGTTGTGTAATTTAAAATGTCTAAAGGATCAATTTCACTTTTGGCAACTACGTTTTCAGAAAAATATCCAAGTTATGAGAATCATAAATTCTCGTGTGTGTGTGTGTGTGTGTGTGTGTGTAGCTACTGGGGCTTGAATGAAGGGCCTTTCATTCTCACTTAGCTTTTTCACCCAAGACTGGTATGTTCCCTCTTTAAGCCACACTTCCACTTCCAGCTTCTCTTTGCTGGTTACTTGGAGATAAGAGTGTCACTGATTTGGGATTTGTCTGCCCCCAATGATTTCCAACCTTGATCCTCAAATTTCAAACTCCTTGCATTGTTAGGATTACAGGTGTGAGCTCCCAGTGCCTGTGGCCTAAATTCTCATCTTAATAATTTACTGCAAGTTTCCAGCTCAACAGTTAAGATATTCGGATCTTCTAATATGTGAAAGAGACTTTAGGGATCTGTTAAAAACAAATGTAAAGCAACTCATCATTAGCAGGTTAGCAATAGTGCCTTCATCAGGCATGTGTAGTGCAGAGAATCAAATCCTGGTCCCTTAGCATCTGAACATGCTTGATGCAAGGCTCCAATGGACAGGATATGAATTCTTCCTTGATCTTACAGGGAGTGGGGTAGGACATTATTACCATGGAGGAGTCAGCCGCCAAGGTGGCTGGCCCAACTTAGTTGTCCATGTTAAAAAATACACTGAATGTTTCTGTGGCATTTGTTCTGCTGCATTTTCTTTATTTCAAGCCACAGGTCTCCTTGGAGAATCATGCAGCTAGTGGCTTAGAAATCAAATCAGAGTGTGTGAATAGTGTGATCATATCAAGAGATAGAATTGTTGCATTCTCTCATTAGGTCAAAAGCTTGCATCTTGGGAATACAGGAGGTGGCCTTATTTATGGGAGACCTAAAATGGGGGACAAAAACCATATAAGTCAATAAGACATACATGAAATTCATGAGCTCAAGCAATGAAGGTTATTCAGTAATTGATTAGCTAGAAAGTCCATGATTTTTAAATAATGCCTCATAGTTAAGATGCAATAAATCATGAGAGCAATTAAAAAATTAGCCAATAATACCACTGTTGCTAATTGTTTGCCAAGACAAACAATTCTCCCTGTTCTTGGCTCTCACCATAGATCACCAAAGAAAATGCCTAAACACAGTGACCATGCATTTTAGAAGCCTTATAATCTGGCTATTTAACATCTCTTTTAGCTTAGAGAGGTGCTACATGTCGCCATTTGCACAGAGATGGGGGACTTTCCTGGTTATCACAGTAGCAAAAAGGAAGTAACCACAGCAACAAAATCAATGAGAAACTTTCAGCTTTCCTACTTCTTAGACCATCATTAGGCAACCAGAAATATTCAGGATAATGAAAATGTAATAGACCATTTTACAAAACAGTGTGTATATATATATATATATATGTATATACACACATACATACATATATATTTATAAATTCAAATTTCAGTTCTCATGGGAATGGTGAGTCTTCTATCTAACATTCTTGAGAAACAGAAAGAAGACATCTGCTAATTCCATACAGATCGGAGTATAGAAACCCTTAGCATATTAACACTAATACCAAAATAAGGTATTGCTAGGACAGAAGTATATGATTAGAAAAGAATCTATCCTGAGTATGTCTGGACGTGAAGAATGGAGACAAAGTTAATATAATCTAGTTTTCAATCCTCATGCAAGTAACTCACAATTATTCTTTACTTAAGATAATTTAATGTTCTGCTGACATAATTTTCATTTCATATTTATATATAGCACTGAACTGATAAACCAAGTTAAATAAATGCTTGTTAGAATTCTACAAACAGATGTTCCCTCTCATTTCAATGAAGTTTAAATATTACATTTTAAATCCAAGTCAGTTATCTTATTAAATAAGTCATATTAGTTAACTCTTTCTGTAAATCATGAATACCTAAAAAACAAGTTTCACTTTCATGGAAACAAATGGAATAAGACATAAATCATTTCAATTTAAGCTAGTAATATGAAGAGAAGTTAACCTATCATCAATGGCTACTATATTTATAACAGATTATGTCATATATTTCATGATTCGAAGAGCCATTTTCAATAGAGGCTAATATGCAAATATAACAATTCTGTTTTTATTGCAATTTATTTAAGCAATAACTTAAAGATTTCATCTCACTTAAATAACTAAATCATCTCAAGTTTTACAGTGTTACAGGCTGAAACATTTTCCAGAATAAAACTATTTCAACTAGATTACAAAAATTTCAAAAAATACAGCAATTTACATATATTTGAACACCATAATTGATGTTAAAATTACACTTTCACTTTTATCGCTCACTAGGAAAGTCCTTTCATTTAAGCATTAACATTTGTCTTTTCTGTTTTTTTGCATATTACTGCAGCTGACAGAATATAACTCCAAAAGATCATCTACTAAATATAAGAAAAGTTTAAGCCAAGTCACAATGCTTCTTTCAATCTGTCCCAAAAGATAAATGGATAACTCATAGAATTACAGCTTTAACTGATTTTCCAGGTTCCTAAACAGGAAGAATGAAAAACACTGAAAACTTTCTTGGGTTACAACAATACATTAAAAGCTAACTAGTAAAAATGGTCTAATTTAAAGAGTAACTAACCTGAGATGTACCTTGCTCCGATTAACATTACCATGCTACTCACTATAAAAAAGCCCAAGGGTAGACTACAGAAGATACTAGGGTCACCTGTGGTCATCCAAGTAGGAGGGAATTCCAGTCAAGCAAACCAAAAGAGAGACACATAATTATAATATTTATGTTAAGAATCACATGATAGCAAAACAAAATCAGTTATAAAATAGCATATTCATAAAAGCTAGCAAAGAGTTATTACTTCAAATCAAAAATATAATCAATATCAAGGTTTATGAATGTTAACAATACAGAAAGCATGCCACAAATAGTCAAGAACATAATACATATAGACCAATATTAGCCTTCCACTGGCTAAAACAAAAAGAGACTATGGAGCACTTTTTGGGAGGCTGTTGTTTGGGCTCTCTAGACTTTTGTCCCCCAAAATTCACCCCAAATTCAAATTATAGGTCATTTGGTTACTAAAGAAAAATTTTATTAGCCCACTGGACATGAATTTGAAACCCTATTTAACCAAAACCATTAATTAGCTTTACTTTAAAAATACTTACTTTAAAAAATACGATTTGAGTCAGGTACCAGTGGCTCACACCTGTAATCCTAGCTACTTATGAGGCTGAGATGTGAAGATCGCAGTTCAAAGCCAGCCTGGGCAGGAAAGTCTGTGAGACTCTTATCTCCAATAAACCACCAGAAAAGCAGAAGTAGAACTATAGCTCAAGTGGTAGAGCGCTTGCCTTGAGTTGAAGAGCTCAAGGACAGTGCCCAGGCCCAGAGTTCAAGCCCCATGATTGAATATGTCTATATCTATATCTATCGATTGATCGATCAATCGATCAATCATCTGGATACGTGACCTATAGAATCTCACTGAAAGTTATCAAGCAATAGAGACCTGGGGGACAGCAAAGACAAAACAATAGAGGGGGTTATTCTTATTAAAATAAACTATATGCACGTGTGAAGTACCATGGTAAAATCCCTCAGTGCAATTAATATACACTAAAAATGAATGACAGGAGTGTAAAACAATTTCTCTTGGGGAGTGGGTATCTGTGAGAGGGGGAACAGAGTAGGTGTGGTTGAAGTACTTTATATATCTATGTATTTATATATATATATGAGTTTATGAAAATAAAACTATTAAACCTAATGAAAATGTGATTTTTGTGTGTGTGCTCCTGTTCTAGGGCTTGAACTCAGAGCCTGGGATCTGTCCACATTTTTGCTCAAGGCTAGCACTCTATCACCTGAACCACAGCTCCACTTCCAGCTTTTTTTTGGTAGTTAGAAGAGTCTCACAGCCTTTCCCTTTCCAGGCTAGATTGAACTGCCATGCTCAGATAGCAGCTTGCTGAGTAGCTAGGATTACAGGCATGAGCGACTGGCACACAACTTGAGTGATGAAGGAAATGGGGTTGATAAGGATATCATACATATGCATTGAAATGTCACTGTGAAAATTGCCTTGTACAACTAAGGTAAGCTAATAAAAATGAGCTCAGTAAGGCTTCAATGAATTGCATACTTGCTCATCATGATTAGTCACTTAAAAATTAATCATACCCAAATGCTCATATAAGAAATGTTATCTTGGGCTGGGAATGGCTCAGTGATAGAATGCTTGCCTAGCATGCATGAAGCCCTGGATTTGATTCCTCAGTACCACATAAACAGAACAAGCTGGAAGTGGCACAGTGGCTCAAGTAGGAGAGTGCTAGCCTTGAGCAAAAGAAGCTCAGGGACAGTGCTCAGGCCCTGATTTCAAGCCCCAGGACTGGCAAAAAAGAAAAGAAATGTTATTTTGGGCTAGGAATGTGGCTTAGTGATAGAGTGCTTGCCTAGCATGCATGAAGCCCTGGGTTTGAGTCCTCAGTAACACATACACAGAAAAAGCCAGAAGTGGTGCTATGGTTCCAAAGGTAGAGTGCTAGCCTTGAGCACAGAGAAGCTCAGAGACAGAGCCCAGACCCTGAGTTCAAGCTCCAGGACCAGCAAAAAAACAAAACCTGAACTATATAATTTGAGGTTAGGGATGGGAGGTGGGCAATGGGAGAGAATGATGGAAGGAGTGACGCTGATCAGGATGCACTGATCATATGAATTGTAATGCTTGTACAACGAGTTTAATAATAAACTTAAAAAGAATCCTACCATAGCCAAAAACCAAACCATTACAAAAGAGGGATGTTAGCCTGGCACCAGTGCTGATGCCTGTAATCCTATAACAAATTTACCACCAAAAGCTGAAAGTATAGCTGTAGCTCAAGTGGTAGAGCACTAGACTTAAGCAAAACAAAACATGTAGGAATAGTTCCCAAGCCCTGAGTTGAAGCCGCAGGACTGGTACAAAAAAAAAAATCAAGGTTTTCTTTTTACCCTATTTGTAGAGATAATACTTGAGAAAAGAGCAATCAATGTCCTGAATATCTGAGAGGAAGGCATCAACTATAAATTAGAATAACTACTTTTTTTTCTTGGGTCCGGTCGTGGGGCCTGAACTCTGGGCCTGGGCACTGTCCCTCAGCTCATCAGCTCAAGGCTAGTGCTCTACCACTTGAGCCACAGCGCCACTTCCAGCTTTTTTCTTTTTGCTTATGTGGTCCTGAGGAATCGAACCCAGGGCCTCAGGCATGCAAGGCAAGCGCTCTACCACTGAGTCACCTTCCCAGCCCTATTTTTGATGTCCCTATCATGACTTCTGGTTTGAAAAGATCTGAGGATTATCTACATTCAGGATCTCTTATTAGTTTATCAATTTAATGAAGCCATTTTTTCCAGTTTTATAAATACACATCACATGTAATATATATGCATAATATACATTATATATACTTTATAATTATTTGATAACTCTTTACTGCATTTAAATCAATTTTCAAAATGTTGATTTGGTGGGTTTTGAGTCATCTATTATGATTAACTTTTTAAAAACAAATCTAGACTAAGAGCTGGAAACTGGTGGCTCATCCTGGAATCCTAGCAACTCAGGAGGCTGAGATCTAAGGATAACAGTTTAAAGCCAGCCCGAGCAGAAAAGTCTGTGAGACTCTTATCTCCGATTAATCACCAGAAAACCAGAAGGAGAACTATGGCTCAGGTGGCAGAACATTAGTCTTGAGCACAAAAGCTAAGGGATAAAACTCAGGCGCTGAGTTCAAGTCTCAGAATGGGCACACAAAAAAAGTGCTTCTATACTCACTTTGGAGTTGGAAGCGAGAAAATATATCACTTGGAAACATTTATCCATTAGAACATATTTCAATGTTATTGGCCATTGTACCATTCATTGTGTTCTAAATCTTTGATTAAGCAAAAAATATTAATTTATGCCACTTATAAGGATCTTAAGGATGCTTAAACTTAAGCTAAATATCTTCTGGCCTAAATGATTGAAAAATAAAATTTCCTCCTTTTTGTGTAAAATAGTATCATAATCTTTTATTCTACTTCTGATCTACTGTGTTTGGTATATTCCTTCTCTAATTCGAAGGGAATAATCAATATGTGCACTCTCAGAGTACCTAGACCCCGACTAGGAAGTAACAAAAATACACTCTAGAATTAATAGAGCTTTTGATTTATTCAGGTCATAAATATAGCCTCCCAAAAAGGTAACATATGAAGAGCAAAGGAAAAAAAAGATTCTAATTGATTTTTTTCATTGAAAAGAAACTAGAAATAATTTTACTTTTGGAAAATTCAGTTATCAAATGAAGTGCCAGGAATCAATCAATAAGCAAAGATAATTTTGTGATAAGAGTCAAAGTATGTATATTTAATTTGCTAATTTTCATTTTATGTTTAGAACTTTAGAAACTTTGGACAAGGGATAAATATTTGCTTCTGAACAGCCTGGCTAAGTATAAATGCCAGTTTATCTAACCATTTCATATACTAGGAAAAATGGCAATAATAACCAATAAAAAACATTTTACCACTTTCTGGAGATTGAGTTGTAACCCAACCGATTGACTTCATCACAGCTTTCTTCCATGTAGAGTAACGAATTTCACTTTCTAGAATTAGAAGTTAGAAAAAATAGATGAGGAGGTTGGCCAAGATGTTCTAAGTATCATACTTATCATTACTCAGCAGTTTTTTTGTCATCGTGGGACTTGAACTCAGGGCGTGGGTGCTATCCCTGAGCTCTTTGTACATATGAGCAATTTGTGCTCAAGGTTAGCACTCTACCACTTGGAGCCACAGTGCCACTTCCAGTTTTCTGGTGGTTAATTGAAGGTTAAGAGTCTCACAGACTTTCTTGCCTGGGCTGGCTTTGACTTGCAATTCTTAGATCTCAGCCTCCTGAGTAGGTAGGCATGAGCCACCAGCCATCTCAGGCCCAATACTGTGCTCTTAATGATAGCACTTTACTGAAACTCAGGTCTGGAAGCACATGGCTGCTGGTGACTAGCAGGGCCTGGTAGGGATGCTTGCTTGAAAGTTGGAGGGAGGTGTGAGACCAAGTTCAGCATGGGACTGTCTGTTCAGCATGGAACTGGTAAAGAGAGATTGAGACAGACTACTTCCTATGAGACAGGGCAAATCACAAGCAAGTGCTGATGAGCTCAAAAGGGATTCCCATTTGATTTGCTTGGTCTGATTTTGAAAGGGAGTCAGGAGATTTGACACGAGGAAAGGGCATGCTATTCTGTAGAAAAACTATAAAGTGAATTAATCTTGGTATCTACTCAAAAGGTTTAGCAAATACTGACTTCTCACAAGGTTAAAACTGCATTTCTGTGAGGCATCTCTTATTCTTTAAAGTAGGATTTCTTTAGGTGTAAGAAATTTCAGTAGGGCACTGGTGGCTCATGTCTGTAATCCTAGCTACTTAGGAAGCTGAGATCTGAGGATCATGGCTCAAAGCCAAGGAAAAGTCCATGAGTCAAGGAAAGTCCATGAGACTCTGCTGATCAGATAACCAGAAGTAGAGGTGTGGTTCAAGTGGTAGAGGACCAGCCTTGAACAAAAAAGCTAAGAATCAGCACCCAGACCCTTAGTTCAAGCCTCAGCACTAGCACACAATGGAAAAGAAAAAATTCAGCATGAAGACTAACCAAAAAAAAGCAGTGATAAAGTTATTCCTCTATGGATATTGAACCAGACACAGGGCTACCCTTTTCTCTTATTTCTCCATAGGTTCATGGATCATTCAACTCAAGAAGTTTTCAACATCCCATTTCTAGCTCTCCCTCCCTCTTCCCACAATACTTCACACAAATCGCAGGATGTTGCTACCTTCTATAGTGAACTTTTATGATTTTGTCTACTTCTCCTAATATATTTGAGTCTCCAGAAGGGCAAGGATTTCGTCTTATGCATGCCTGTAACCCTGTGTCAGTTACAATCTCTGGCCTATAATTAGCTCTAAACAAATTATTAGCTGAAAGAATGAAATCTATCTAGGTACCTATTGGTGTGGTGAAAGAGTGGGAAGGGACTGGTGAAAAAAATCATGACAGCCAACATTAATTGACCATCTTCAGTTGACGACCTTCAGCCATGGCAAAGATAGTTCTCCTCAGTAAACATGTTTAAAAAAATCCAAGGAAGTAGCACTGTGGTTCAAGTGGTAGAGTTCTAGCCGTAAGCAAAAAAGCTCAGGGGCAGTACCCAGGCCCTGATTTCAAGCCCCATGACTGACTGACAAAAAAATCCAAAACCTTTACACTACATGTCCTTGCTTTAAAAACTGGCTAAAGAGCCTACTCTGAACATGACTTGTCCATTACAAAATTGGTTTGTGAAACTGGAGGCATGCTTATGAGTGCCAGCTATGAAAAAGCCAAGTGAGAGCAAGAGGCCATGAGTGAAAGCCCTAGTGCTGGTACAAAACAAAACAAGCTGGGCACAGGCGGCTCTTGCCTAGAATCCTAGCGACTCAAGAGGCAGAAATCTGAAGACTGTGAAGGAAAGTTTGTGAGACTCTTATTTCCAATGAACCACCAAAAAGCTGGAAGGAGAGCTATGGCTCAAGTGGTAGAGCGTTAGCCTTGAACAAAAAAAGCTCAAGGACAGTGCCCAGGCCCTGAGTTCAAACCCTAGAATGAGCACACACAAAAAACTTGGTTTGCCTCATGGAAGTAGTAAATTTGTTTTAATTTTATCCAGTATTGTCAAAATATAAAAATGTATTATGCCTATATGGAAATGTCACAATGAAAACATCCCCTTACAACTAATTTATGCTAAAACAGTCTTAAAATACATAGATAAGATAAATATAATAAGTCAGAGACTATGTCAGATTTTGAAACACAAATCTATATCATGATATATGGGATGCTGTTGACTCTAATTATTAGTAGTATAATGTATTTGCGCACATGTATGAAAAAGACCAAATGACTTTAGGAAACAATGGCCTAGTCTTCTAGGAAATAAAACAAAAACTGCGTTTGAAAACTTACATTTTCCAATAGCTCAAAATCTTCTGATGCTTTTATGCCTAGGTGTCTAAAAAATTAGGAAGCCAAATTCAATGGCTCAGGCCTGTAATCCTATCTTTATAGAAAGCTGAGATTTGGAGCTCTTGAAGCCAGCCAGGGCAGGAAAGTCAGTGAGATCCAAAGCTGGAAGTGGAGTCCCCTCTCAAAACAACAACAACAACAATAACAACAAAACCCAGTAGTCTAACAAGGTATAGTTGGCAATGTTGCAGGATAACTCTCTTAAGCAGTATAGAAGTGAATGGTTTAAACAGGTCATTTCATATTATTTATTTACTTATTCATTTGTTGGTCGAGGGGCCTGAACTCTGGGCCTGGGCGCTGTCCCTCAGCTCTTCAGCTCAAGGCTAGCACTCTACTACTTGAGCCACAGCACCACTTCCGGCTTTTTTCTTTTTTGCTCATGTGGTGCTGAGGAATTGAACCCAGGGCCTCAGCCATGCAAGGCAAGTACTCTAGCACTGAGCCACCTTCCCAGCCTAATTTCAGATTTTTAAAAACAAGGAAGTATTTATTTCTCTCACTGACACTTAGTATAACCCAGTGTTTTAGCAGCCAAATCTGAAATGGTCGCATTTGCTCTTTTATGTTGGGCTTAAAAGCAGAAAGGCAAAAACTCCCTTATACTGTCATTTTCACAGAATTCTATTAAAAGTTGCAATGTACCCTCTTCATTGATCTGTGGTTCAAACCGCTCCATTGTGACGGCTGACAAATCCTCAGGTTCGAGACTCCAAACACCAACTCCTTCTGCAGCGCCTGCTGCCATAGCAGCTCCCAGGGCAGTTGTTTCAGGCATAGAGGGTTTCACTGAGGGGAGAAGGCTATGTCAACAATTCTGTGACTGCATATACCTCAAGAATGACTTCTTCTGAAAGAAACATTTCCAGAGTTCAAAGGAACGAAAGGCTTACTAACCTACTGGAATATACAGAATATCTGCCTGAAGCTGCATAAGAATTTTGTTGCTGGTCATGCCTCCGTCTACCTGCAGATGGCTCAATGGAATTCCACAGTCACGATTCATGGCATCCAAAATCTTAAATAAACCAGTGCAATTAGCATCATGAAAGTTCATCTCTGAAAAATGGCAATGTTTTATATAAAATCACTAATGTTTCCCCAACATGCACAGTTAAATTGATCTGATCATATCTACCCTTTTCTGGCATTATATCACTAAACTCTCCCTGAGTTTCAGTAAGCCAAACAATTCCATCTTGCTTTCCTCCCTTGATGCCTGTCTGTTGTGTTTCCTTTGCCCTACTATGTGCCACTCACCCTCTTCCTAACCATTCAACGCCCAGTGCCTGGCAGATAATAGGGGCTAGAAAGGGGGGAAGGATATTTGTATATTTAGATGAGCATTTATATAGGCATCATGTTTTAAGTAAGTTCACTGTCAGCATTTAACAAAATTTCAAGCATTAAATATATAATGTAGGGGTAGTAAAGGTTAATTGAGTGTAAATAAACTGTCTTATAGTCATTACCTCTCGGGTTTGGAAACAAACAGCTTCCAAGGCAGCAAAAGCAATGTGACATTTATTGGTGAACTGGGTGAGTCCACAGATTATCCTAAAATTACATACAAGCATTTTCAGATTAGAGTGGTATAAATATCTGGAATATGGAAATGGTTAATCTAACAGACAGAAAAGTATAGATGATTCAGAAAATCCCATCCTAATTGTCCACAATCCTGCATTCACCTAAGTTCACAATCCATTTGAACAGATGACAGTAATAAAAAACCAACTTGGAATTCATTTGCATGGTACAGACAAAGGATAGCAATATGGCCATAAATATGCTAGAGGTCACTCTCTGCTGATTTATAACTTCTTAGAATGTACAGTTTCTAAAACTACTGTCTTTAAACACAAAAGGTTTTCTTAGCACTTTAAAATCATTTGAAAATAGATAAGAAGCTACTAACCAATTAGCAACTGATTACTTCAGGAAATCCATAGATTTCTAAAAGTATACCATACTGTTAACACTACTTCTTTCATTGTTCTTTTTAAAGTTTATTTATTTATTTATTTACTTATTTAGCCAATCCTGAGGCTTGAACTTTGGTCCTGGGCGCTGTCCCTGAGCTCCATTTGCTCAAGGCTAGCACTCTACTACTTGAGCCACATTGCCACTTCCAGTTTTTTCTGTGACTAAACTGGGGATAAGAATCTCACAGACTTTCTTGGTCAGGCTGGCTTTGAACCTCAATCCTCAGATCTCAGCTTCCTGAATAGGTAGGATTACAGGTATGAGCCACTGCTGTCTGGCTCCTTGGCTCTTTTTTTTTGATCAAGGCTAGGACTCTACCACTTGAGCCATATCTTCACTTTCAGCTTTTTTTTTTTTTTTAATTTTTTTTGGTCCAGTCGTGGGGCCTGAACTCTGGGCCTGGGCGCTGTCCCTCAGCTCTTCAGCTCAAGGCTAGCGCTCTACCACTTGAGCCACAGTGCCACTTCCGGTTTTTTCTTTTTTGCTTATGTGGTGCTGAGGAATCGAACCCAGGGCCTTGAGCATGCAAGGCAAGCACGCTACCACTGAGCCACCTTCCCAGCCCCACTTTCAGCTTTTTAATGATTAATTGGAAATCAGAGTCTCTTTTGCGAGCTAGTTTCAAACCATGATTCTCAGATCTCAGCTTTCTGAGTAGCTAGGATTGTGGGAATGTGCCATCATACACTTTTTAATTGAGACATAATATTTATACATATTTATGGGGTATGATGTGGTATTTCCATATGTATATATCACAGCTAAGAATCAAATCAGTGTATTTACCACTTGAAGCACTTACAATTTCTTTGTATTGGGAACATTTAGAATCCTCTCTTGTAGCTATTTTGAAAAATTCCGTAAAATACTATTAACTATACATACTTACCCTCTTGCACTGGGTTCCCAGTAAGGTGCATATAATCCTGAAAATGCTGGAACAAAGTAGCAGCCATAAGAAGTGCCAACTTCTTTAGCAAGTTTTTCTAATAATAAAAAAATAAAGAAATCACATCAATATCTTAATTATAACTCTTTTCCAAATTAGTATAGTAAAATGTTCCTAATTACAGTAATACACTAACAAAGCAACAAGGAAGTTTCCTCTACATCAAATACCCCTAAAACATAACCGAGCTCAAACAAATTAAGGTAGTACATTCAGTTACTTATGGTATTTTAGTTCATTTCCATTATTTATAAGGCTGTTGACTAAGAGATGAAGTGGTCTCTTGTGTATATGTGCCAGATCAAAAATGTATTTCTGATTGCTCTATCTCCAGGGAATGTTAAATAAGTAGATGAAAGAATGAGTAGGTAAGTTCAAATTAATTATCCATAGACAGAATATAGTCAGATTAATACTTAAATTTTAGGTACCACAGTTTTAATGTTCTCTAATTTTAAAGCTCTCTCTCATCAATTAAATGTAATCTACAGATTCAGGCAATCTTGTTTCCAATTTTGTACTTGGCTTATTTCTATGCCCTGTGTTACCAATTTATTAATAATTACCACTAATTATGCCAATTTATTGTGTAATAAATCTTTATTTTGTGTGTGTGTGTGTGTGTGCGTGCGTGCGCGCACGCACATGTGCACACACATGCTGGTCCTGGGCTTGAACTCAGGGCCTGGGCACTGTCCCTGAACTTTTGTGGTCAAGGCTAGTGTTCTACCACATGAACCACATTTCTAGCATTTTAGTAGTTTATTGGAGATAAAGAGTCTTACAGTCTTTGCTGCCAGGCTGGCTTTGAACTGGGATGCTCAGATCTCACCCTCCTGTGTACCTAGGATTTACAGGAATGAGCTACCACAAAATAGTGTTTTGTTTTTGGTCGGTCACGGGGCTTGAATCCTGGGCCTGGGCTCTGTCCTTACACTCTTCAGCTTAAGGCTAGCACTCTACCACTTGAGCCACAGTGTCACTTCCAGTTTTCTAATGGTTAGTTGGAGGTAAGATTCTCTGGACTTTCCTGCCCAGGCTAGCTTTGAACTGTGATCCTCAGATCTCAGCATCCTGAGTAGCTAGGATTATAGGTGTGAGCCACCAGCACCTGGCTACAAATAGTTCTTTTTTGTATAAGTCAAACATATAACAAGGGTCATTATTTATGGATCATATTCATAGCATAGCGTAAACATTTACAGATTGCAGCGATAAAAATATGAAAACCTCTCCACTGTTCACAGATTTTCTAGCCCTTTGTAACAACACTCACCAATTTCCTCTGAGCTCTTAATGATTCCAAGATTGTCTCTTAGCCAGCGAATAACGGCACCAGCGATAGCTACAGAACCCTAAAGAAAAAAAGGAGTTTGAGGTAGAATATTGTTACCACTGCGAAGAGTGTGTTGCATGATACTACCACATTCAAACATTTAAAATTTGGGGGCTCCTATATATCTGCTAAACTGTGGCTTCTAACATGAACCCAGTTTTTCCTAGGTCATATATAAGAGTTTCCACAGGCTAGGCACTGGTGGCTTATGACTGTAAGCAGGAGGCTGAAATCTAAGGATGGCACTTCAAAGCCAATTTGGGCAGAAAAATCTCTGAGAGTCTTATCTCCAATTAACCACCAGAAAACTGGAAGTGGAGCTGTGTCTCAAAGTGGTAGAGTGCTAACCTTGAAAAAAAGAGTTCAGGGACAGCTCCTAGACTCCAACCTCAAGACCCAGGACTGACAAAAAATAAGTTTCCTCAGGATAAGTAAAATAATTAAGTCTTTCAGTATATCCTTGCACAGATCCCCTGAGGTGGATATCTATCGTTTGGACATTTTTTATCTGTTGCTAAGCTATTGAGGTATAATTCCATCCAACATACATTTCTGTCTTACCCATATATTTCTTTAAGCCCATTTTCCATATCTAGTAATATAGAAAACCAAGCAAAAAATGCCTAAGATGCTAGCTCCTAAGTAATTTTTCATTAAATCATCAAGGAATTAATGGAGAGAGTGGTGGGAGCAATAAGGATGAAAAAACATATAATTCAGAGTCATATCAACTGGGTTTTGAATCCTAGTTCTAGCACTTAGTTGCTATGTGATCCGAAGCAAATTACTGGGACTTTCCATTTCTTTACTTATAAAATGATTAACCTAATCAAATTACAGTATTAACCTAAACAAATTACTGCAAGGCTCCATATGAGAATAAATGTACAGTCCTTACTGAATGTAAATTTTATCATCATCATCATCATCTTTACCATTGTCATCATCATCATCATCATCATCATTATCATTATCATCATCATCATTGCCACTCCTGGGGCTTGAACTTAGGGACTGGACACTGTCCATAAGCTTTTTTTGCTCAAGACTAGCACTCTACCTTTACTTCTGACTTTTCTTTTGGTGGTTTATTGGAGATAAGAGTTCTCAAGGACTTTCCTGCCCAGGCTGGCTTCAAACTGGCTTCATGATATTTCAGTCCCTTGAGTAGCAAGGACTATAGGCATGAGCCACTGGTGCCTGGCTAACTTCATTATCTTTAAGTGCTAAAAAATATCAGGCAAGCCAAGACTGCTTACTTAGCAAGTGCAAAACCCTGAGTTTAATTCAAATATCACTAAAAAAAAAGATACAAGCACTTATTTGAAAGAAGTACCTATGTTTATCAGCATCTAACATGCAGTATGGTTTAGCCCTCAAAGAAATTACTGAAATGCAGCCAGACACTGGTGGCTCATGCTTATAATCCTAGCTACTCAGGAGGCTGAGATATGAGGATTGTGGTTCAAAGCCACATGGGCAGGAAAGTCCATGAGACTCATCTCTAATTAACAACTAAAAAGCTGGAAGTGATGATGTGGCTCAAGTGGTAGAACACTAGCCTTGAGCAAAAATGTTCAAGGACAGTGGCCAGGCCTTGAGTTCAAGCCCCAGGATTTTCACATCAAAAGGGAAATTACTAAAAATATTGGAAGCTTCCAAATTCACACAAGACATGTGGTCTTCTGAATTCAGAAGCAGGAGATAATATAGTGCTTCAAAGATTAAGGAAAAAGAGCAGGACAAGAATCCTAAAAAGTTAGGTTAAGGGGGCTGGGAAGGTGGCTCAGTGGTAGAGTGCTTGCCTTGCATACACGAGGCCCTGGGTTGGATTCCTCAGCACTACATAAGCAGAAAAAGCTGGAGTGGAGCTGTGGCTCAAGTGATAGAGCACTAGTCTTGAGCTGAAGAGCTCAGAGTTCAAGCCCCACAACGGAAAGACAAAAATAAATAAATAAATAAATATAAATAAATAGGTTAAAAAGTATCTGTTTGCTGGGCTGGGAAGGTGGCTCAGTGGTAGAGCGCTTGCCTTGCATGCATGAGGCCCTGGGTTCGATTCCTCAGCACCACACAAGCAAAAAGAAAAAAAAGCCAGAAGTGGCGCTGTGGCTCAAGTGGTAGAGCGCTAGCCTTGAGCTGAAGAGCTGAGGGACAGCGCCCAGGCCCAGAGTTCAGGCCCCACGACCAGAACCCCTCCCCCCCAAAAAGTGTCTATTTGCTTGTCATCAATTAAAATTACCAAATTATGTCCTAAACAGAAGGATTCAATTCTTGAATGCAACATCTACAAATCTGAATCACCTCTAGTCCAGCTGTATTCTCAGGAAGACACAAGATAATTGAGAAGGTAAAATGAAGAATAACAACAAGGTAAGAGGAAAATATTTTTAAAGTAGATATGTAACCTGGAAAATAAAAAGCTAAGAAATTGGCTCTGGAGAAGACTGGCTTAAAAATAATCAAGTAGAAGTGATATAATATCAGGGCAGGCAAATGGATTCTTCTTCTAATGTTCCTTGACATAAATGCCACTGCCACAAACAATTGAACGTATAAGGAATATTTCAGTGGAATCATGTCTTAAAAGATAGTTGGAGTTAATGATGAGTATGGGGGAAAAAGTATGTAAGACAAAGATTATCTTTACCTTGCTTTAAAGCATCCATTAGGCTTAGTAAACATGGTTTCTGGTATAATATGATACTATACATGTCAATAGGTATAATGGATACTATATCTAATTTATATGTATTAAGAGTACAAATACGAAGTTAAACTCCATAAGCATTTTTTGTACTAGATCTAGGGCTTGAACTCAGTCGGGGCCTAGATGTTGTCCCTGAGTGTTTCTTTGCTCAAGGCTAGTGCTCTACTACTAGAGCCACAGTGCTATTTCTAATTAGCCACCAAAAATCCAGAAGTAAGAGTCTAATGGATTATTCTGCATGGGCTGGCTTTGAGCCATGATCCTCGAATCTCAGCATCTTGAGTAGCTAGGATTACAGGTGTGAGTGTGGCTGGCCAGCATCGCATTTTCATGGGGACAGATTCTCATTATAAAGCTGAGACGGGCTTTGAAGTTGGGATTCTCCTACCTCATCTTGCCAAGTACTAGGATTAGTGATGTATACCACCATACTCCAGCTTTCCATAGCACTTTTAGCAGTAGAGACAAAGGGAACACAGTTGTTAAGTTAGGGCATATTATATTTAAAAAGATAGCTGGGTGCTGGTAGCTCACACCTGTACTCCTAGCTACTCAAGAGGCTGAAATCTGAAGATCGTGGTTCAAAGCAAGGCCAGGCAGGAAAGTTCATTGAGACTCTTATCTCCAATAATCCACCAGAAAACCGGAAGTAGCACTGTTGTCAAGTGGTAGAGTGCTAGCCTTGAGCTGAAGAGCTTAGGGACAGCGCTAGGCCTAAAGTTCAAGCCCCACAACCGACAAAAAATAAAAAAAATTTAAAAAAATGATAAAAGATAGAAATAGCATTCCATAGGATTTGGTATTGTATACTATTCTAGCTTGCTGGAATACAATGGTAAACAAGACAGACAAATATCCTGGCTTCAGAAAGCCTTCATCATAGTTCCTAATCATACTCAAGTCTCCCTAAAGGAATTCTGTTTTATAAACGCTACTTAGAAAAAGAAGAGGAACAAGGAAAAGGAAAAGCACAGCCTCAGGAAGACATTGAACTATCAACAGGTGACAGCAGGAAGTCAGAGCCAGTAACTGCTCTATTTCACTGCTGTCTCCTTCGCAGGGAGAAACAATTTCCAATTACAAAGTGTAAGATAAGTTTAAGCAGCTTAATATGAGCTTAAAGGTAAAGAACAGCTTAAGGATTACGTGCCCCAGTTCCTTCTGACAGATAATAAAAGTGAGAATTCAGAAATGTGAAAATTCCAAGCCCAGAATAATCTTGCTGCAGGTGGAGAAGGTCAGGGGGGCTAGTTAGGGGAGAAAAAGAATTTCTCAGTGATGAAAAGGATATAGATGTTTACACCAGATGGTAAGTTGTACTTCAAAAATTCTGGTTTTTTTTCTAAATACAGAGAATAACAAGCAAAATATAAGGGGAAGGAAAACTCAAGTGCTACATGTTGACTTGAAGACAGAATCATCTATGAGACAGACATGGAAATGCACAACAGGCAGAACGACTGAAGCTATGGGCATGATAGCTTTGGGGTTGTTTTTCTCTACTTGGAGCAGTGGCCAAGAATTGGTTCCTCCAGAGGAAAAGTATCCAAATTGCCATATGCACACAGGGAATATTTTTTTAAGATATGAAAGTAAAAGAGGGACTATTTGGGGTGGGAAGGTGGCTTAGTGGTAGAGTGCTTGCCTTGCATGCATGAAGCTCTGGGTTTGATTCCTCAGTACCACATAAACAGAAAAAGCCAGAACTGGAGCTATGGCTCAAGTGGTAAAGTGCTAGACTTGAGCAAAGGAAATTCAGGGACAGTGAACAGGCCCCAGGACTGGCCAAATGAAGAAGGAGGAGGAAGAGGAGGAGAAGGAGGAGGAGGAGGAGAAGGAGGAAGAAGGAAGAAGAAGGAGGAGGAGGAGAAGGAAGAAGAAGGAGGAGGAGGAGGAAGAAGAAAGAAGAAGGAGAAGGAAGAAGGAAGAAGAAGAAGAAAGGGGGGGACTATTTGGCAAGAAAGAAAAAAGACTAGCCAGAGGAAGGAGGGGACGAGAGGAAATGAGGGTTAATATGATCACAGTACATTATGTACATGAATGAAACTGTAATAAGGAAACGCATTTTTAATAAAAGATAGGGAAAATCAGGTGCTGGTGGCTCACGCCTGTAATCCTAGCTGCTCAGGAAGCTGAGATCTGAGGATCTTGCTTCAAAGCCAACCTGGACAGGAAAGTGTGTGAGACTCTTATCTCCAATCAACTAAAAAACAACAAAAAAAAACAGAAGTAGAGCTGAGGCTCAAGGTGGTAGAACACCAGCCTTGAGCAAAAGAGCAGAGGGACAAGGCCCAGGCCCACCCCCCCAA